GTTAAAATCACCTCCAAAGACAACCTGCCGGGACATAAAAAAGGAAAGGCTTAATCTTTGTGAAAAGTAATTTCCTATCCCACTTAGACTGGGGACCAAACACATTAATAAAATACAGTTCTTGCCCTTTCACAAGGACGTCCAAGACCATACACCTTCCAATCTCCACCTCAATGACCCACCGGCATGTTACCATGCCGGTAAAAAAGTACTGCAACTCCGCTGTAAGGCTCAGCCGCAAGAGACCAAAAAGAGGGACCACACCTCCACTCTCTCTCTTTGTCAAATGTATGTCGGCCAGGCTGTTAAGCTGGGTCTCTTGCAAAAAAAAAAAAAAAAAAACATCAGCTCCAATACCACTGAGCAAAAATAAGGCTGTATTCCTAGCACTTACAGATATAATGCTGGCAATATTAATGGTTGGCACCTTTACCGGAGCAGGAACTGACATTAAGATAATTGGGATGGCAGTTTCTTAACCTTAGTTTTCCCAACCTTAGTAGGGGGTCTAGCCCTCTTGAGGGATCCCCCCGCTTCCTCATCTTCCATCGGGGACAAGGATTCTCCCATATCCCCTTCGTCCCCAGACAGCAGCCCAAACTTTATTTACAAGGGGTATCTCCTCTACCTCTATAGAGGAACAAGAGGAGGCAGAAGACAAAACTGCCCTATTCCCGCCCCCCCTTTCCCACGACAGACCATCCCTCTCCCTTGCCATCCATCCCTGACTCCTCAACCTCAGGATCCGGACCAGATTGGTCCTCCTCCTGCCTACCCTCAGAGGCCACAACATCCCCTAAAGGACCCTTACACCGATGTGGGAGCAGCACTGGGGGGGGGGGGGGGGGGGGGCACAGGAGACTCTACAACTCCTACTCCCTAGGCAGCCTCACTAATTTTTGACTGGACTGGGGGAAGGGGGGGGGGGCACACACGAGGAGGGGCAGGCAACACCTGGGAAGACAAAATGACAGGGGGACACTTTACAACAGAGGGAGGGACAGACACATCCGGGGACACACCGGATGCCTCTGGTGCTGGAACAACTGTAGCAGCCTGCTCCTCAGGGACCTGACCCCCACCAGCCTCCATCCTTGCTAATTCTTCTATTAAATCAAAAAAGAAAGAAAAAGCGCCAAAAATTAATTTAAATAAATACAAAAACCGCAGCAAACCTAAAACCTCAAATCAAGGTGAATAATACAAACAAAAAAATAGGAATGCGCTGTGAATTACTAAATGTACATCTATAATCAAAAAGTCCACATAAATAAAGTCACTTCAAAATTAGTGCACAAAAACTTTTTTTTTTTTTTTTTCAAAATCACTTCAAAATTGGTGCAAAAAAATATATATTTTCTCTAATTGTGCTCATAATCCACCACCAGAAGAAATAAACTCACCAGAGCTTTTTGCTGATTATTTAAAACCAGCAAAAACGCTGTTGCTCTGGGAGCAGTGAAGTATCCAGGTGGCAAAATCAATACTCTGTATTGAAGAGGGATATCCAAGATTGGGAGCCGCTCCGTGAGGACGTCATTTGTGATGAAACGCGTAGGGCGGAGCCTGGATGTCGTGACGTCAGGACGTTCCCTGCTGTCTAGCAGAGGTATCCGTGGTAAGCGGGTTTGCTCGCTGATTGCAATCTGATGGTATTTCTGACTGCCTATCATGCTGGTGTCGGCGTGACACCTTATTTGTGAGTGTTTTACTTACTTTTGATTAAATATGAGGTTTTAAACTCGCTGCACCATCATCCTTTTTCTTTATTCCCGAGTGTGGCTCCTTGACTAGGATTGGAGGATACGTTTAATAAAAGGTTCCCAGGTGTTGGTTTGATGCTTCTGTTGCAGATATTGCTCCCAATCTTGGATATCCCTCTTCAATACAGAGTATTGATTTTGCCACCTGGATACTTCACTGCTCCCAGAGCAACAGCGTTTTTGCTGGTTTTAATTAATCAGCAAAAAGCTCTGGTGAGTTTATTTAATTCTTCTATTACCTCAGGCATATTATGCAGTGCCTCCGGGCACTGACTATATGAATGACCGAGCTTTAGGCACAGATTGCACCTTCATAAGGTTGCAATCTCTAGCAATGTGGCCAATCCCCTCACACAGGGAGCATTTTAAAAAGCTGCATGCAGAGACAAAATGCCCTTTATTCCCACACCTGTGAAAGACTTTGGGCTGCCCAGCATAGAATATAATCAATCTGTCTTTTCCCAAAAAAGCTGACAATGGAATATGTCTGATCTGATTATCCTCACCCATAATTTTACCACTGCTGACCACCCTCCTGTCCATATCCCCCTATCATCCAGTAATTTCCTGAGGGGGCCCATTACCTCCCCAAAGCACCCCAGCCACACCATGATATCAACGGCTGTATGGACTTGTTCCTTACAAGAATAGTGACATTTATCAGTAAAGGTTGTCTAGATACTAGCTTGGGGGTGAGCCCTTCCCATCTAGGGGTCCCCTTCCATTCTCTCTCATACCGTTGCCAGAATATATCAAGGCTTTCCGATTTTACAAATGACACATCGAATTCCCCGGTGCCAACCGGAGCAATGAACGCAAATAACTCCAGGGCTTTAAACCCCATGTCCAGGATGCGATCAACTACCTCGCTCCTGTTGGGGGGGGGGGGGGGCGGGACTCCCACCTTCCCACTTTAACTGAACAACATTGCGTTGCTTTATGGCTGGCACCGACCCCCCACCCGCACCTCAGGCGGTCTCACAGCACCCTCATCACACTTCAGGGCTATGGAATAGCTAAGCGCTGGCTTTAGGACAGGAGCAGGGACAGGGACATCTCTCGTCTCGGCTCCAGCCAAGCTGGGCGCAACAAGGGGAACCAAAACAACAGCAGGCTCTGCCGTAGTAGGGACGGCAACAGTATTATCAGGACTAATAACATTATTAGCAGACACTATCACGCTTTTATCAGCACAGTCCACAGCAATATTACTCACAGTCCTGCCAAGCCTGTCTCTTTTGGCTCCTCCACTGCTCCACTCACTTCCCCCAAACCGACAGCCTTCTCCTGCGCGCTGGAAATTCTTTGTAATCTTACAAACACTGTTTTTTCTTTCTTCTTCGGCCTCACCGGCTTAAGGCACTTATCTGCCTCTAAATCAGTGTCATCTGAGGAAAAAGCAAATTGTCTCCCCCGCAGGGGAGACTCCAACTCTGAGATGAACTCCATCGCCCCTGCCGCTTCACTTTTCACCTCCTGGGCTGCCCAATCCAGCTTCTGCTGCTGGGGAGAGACGGATTCCAGCCCCTCATCCACCACTTCTTTGGACATAGATCCATCAGCTTGCTGGACCGTAGCTGCCAGGATCCCTCCAGTGGGATCAGATAAATCCTCTGATGACAGGATCTCACCAGCCTGGCCTCTCACTGCAGCGATGGATTTTTCCTGTGCTTGTCTAAAACGATCGTTTGCTTATGTTTCCTTAAGCACGCCACTGGTGGCTTTCAGTGTAGCAACAAGGTCTCCCTGCAGCCGGACCACCCGCTCCAGGCCCTCCAGCCGCATGGTCTGCCCCTTCATGCTCCATACCCTGTCGTAAGATGCTTTGAAGCACTTCAGGTCCAACTTCATCCGCCCCAACTTCTCCTGCTCCTTCCCAATCTGTACGATGTGTGAAGACACACATCCTCTATAGGCTGTGTAAGACTACCCAGCCTTAGGGCCCTCTCAGGTCCTCTATAGGTGTATCTGGACCGGTACTCGGTGCCTTGGGGGGCCCTCCACCTAGCAAGTCTCGGCTGGGCTCCGCCATCCTCCTTCTGATAGGTTTCCAAAATTTAGCTCCAGGCTCTAGATGGGGCCTGTGGAGCTCCAAGAAACACTCACTCTCAGAACAGCCTGCTGCAGCCCCTCCCACTTCCACCAAGGCTTGCCCTCAAATAGATCCTCGTTAAAGGATTTAAAGTGTACTCATTCCAATTACAATATACACCTTCGTGCCAGGTGCTAAACATATCTGTTGGTGGAAAATGACCACAAAACGTGTGATGCCCACAATCTACTGGAGTGTCTGGAGAACATATAGAAAAGTTTAAGTGCTGCATGCTGAAAGTTATTGTGGAAAGTCCATCCAAAACTATAGAGTTGCACCCAGGGGCGGACTGACAACTCATGGGGCCCTCGGGCAACAGGGGATCATGGGGCCCCTGTGTCCTTGCCCACATTCAAACCACACCCAAAATAACCTATGAAAGGTACCAGGGGCATCTCATGGGGCCCCCTACTGACCCTGGGCCCTCGGGCAGTGCCCGAGTGCTCGAATGGTCAGTCCGCTCCTGGTTGCACCACAGTCTCCGGTCCAAGTCCAAGCTTAAAACATGTTTATTAAATGATGTGTAAAAACCCGCAGTCCAATCAGATGAATGATAGTGAGAACTCTAACTCATAACATGTTTCCAGCCAAACAAACTAACAACCATTAAAACTCATGACTCCAGGTGTGAAGTAGAAGGTGGCCCCACAGGCATAAAGCACACTCCCACACCATCCCACTCAGGCATCACCAGCAAGGTTTTCATCCATTACACATCTGCATCAGAGGCTGGTCATTAGCTCTGAGGAAAGGGATTCGTCCCCGAAACGCGTCAACCATTTGACCGCACTAACAGTGAGAACACCTTGCCTGCCGTTGTGGCCATCGTTATTTTTCTATGCTTTTTAGATACATGCTTCGTTTGTGAGTATGTTTTTATTATTTTTTACTCTTTACAATAAACCTTGGATAATGCACTAGGTGTGTGCGCCACCTGTTTTCTCTTTAGACCTTGCTGTATACAGGACTTAGGAAGATAACCAAGAAGATGGCCACCCTGTGTGTATGAAAGCACCGGAAGTGATGTAATCCAAGATGGCCACAGTTAGGAAGTGGCTCTGGACCTAGCTGTACACAGGACTCAGGAAGATAACCAAGAAGATGTCCACCTTGTGTGTATGGAAGATACCAGAAAAGATTTCATCCAATATGACCACAGACAAAAAGTGGCTCTGAACCTGGCTGTATACAAGACTCAGGAAGATGACCAAGAAGATGTCCACCCTCCATTCCTCAGAGGGGACATGGGCACTGATCATCAGTGCCTTGATTATCAGTGTAGCCACATCAGTGGCACCTGTCAGTGTCCATCAATGCCACCTGTCCATGCCCATCAGTGCCACATCAATGTCACATATCAGTGCCTACCAATGCACATCAATGCCACATATCAGTGCCCATCTGAGCTTCCCTTCAGTGCCAGTCAGTGCCACCTATCAATGCCAGTCAGTGCTGCCTATCAGTGCCATATATCAGTGCCCATCAGTGTCGCCTAACAGTGCCAGTCAGTGCTGCCTATCAGTGCCAGTCAGTGATTCCTATCAGTGCCAGCTATTAGTGCCATATATGTGTGCTGCCTTTCAGTGATGCATATCAATGCCCATCAGTGCCTCCTCATCAGTGCCCATCAGTGCCACCTATCAGTGTCCATCAGTGCAGCCTATTAGTGCCCATCACTGCAGCATCATTAGCGCATATCAGGAAAGAAGAAAAATCACTTATTTGCAATATTTTATAACAGAAACTAAGAAAAAACTTTTTTTTTTAATTTTTAGTTGGTTTTGGTTTGTTTAGCAAAAAATAAAAAAAACCCAGAGGTGATTAAATACAACCGAAAGAAAGCTCTGTCTCAAAAAAATGATAAAAATTTCAAGTACAATGTTGTATGACCGCGCAATTGTCATTCGAAGTGTGACAGTGCTGAAACCTGAAAATTGGCCTGGGCAGGAAGGGGGTGAAAGTGCTTGGTATTGAAGTAGTTAATTATTATTGGGGTCAAGCTGATATTTGTTCAGTGATGAGAAAATTTGAATGGACAGCATGGAAAATATTTCTTCAATGAATGAATTTACAAAAGCGTATGCAGTTTTCATTTAGTAAAGTCTAATCATTCTAAAATCGAATGTTAAAAGCAAACAAAATTTTGAAGTACTTTTGAGCGGTATTCGTCAAATCATCAAATCTACTAAGAATTTTCATACTATTGCTTGAATAATAATTCGTTCAAAAATCTGCTGATGTACAGCCAGCTTAAGGCTACGTTCACACTAGCTTTGTCAGCAGGTGTCAGACAGGCGTTTGGGAAACGTTTTTAACGCTTCTCAAATGCCTATGAAAATTCTGCACATGGCAGCACACAGTGCTGTTCACAGTGAAGCGTTAGCGTCGCAGCAAAACTGACGCCTTGTGTGGAGTCAGGAAGAGTTGGAGCCTCCCATTCAAGTCTATGGAGTAAATGCCTGGCAGGTGTTTGCGGTGCGGTTGCGACATAGTTGCGAGGCGGTTTTGGAGCGTTAATATCATTTAACTTCATAACCCATCGAACCCCTCGTGTATTGTATTGTTACTGTCTTGTCTCATGTTCTGTCCCCCTTGCTACTGTACAGCACTGAGCATACCCTTTGGCACTATATAAATACTAATAATAATAATAATAATAATAGGCATTTGTGGTGCGGTTTTAACAGCCTCAAAATCGGGCATTTGGGGAGCGTTTGAGGAGCGTTAAAAACGCTTCCCAAACGCCTGTCTAATGCCTGTCAAATGCTATAGGGGCGTTTGGCAAGAGTTAGAAATAAAGTCAAGTGTGAACGAGCCCTAAGGCTCCATGTACACGGGATGTTTGAAAAACACTTTTGAACGATGGAAATCGACTGCTGGAAAACATAGGTAAAAAAACCTCTGTTTAGCCACGTTTGCATACCGCGTTTATGAGCATTTGCGTTTAGAAGCGTATTTAAAGGTAATCTCTGGAGACCTTCCAAAATGCCCAGAATGCACTGAAAAACAGTAAAAAATTCACTATTTCAGACATTTTGAGACAAATAGAGAGAGCAGAAGCAGAGAGAGATTGTTGAGATTAGCTGTCCTTTTTTTAATTTGTGGTGTTTGGATGTGTTCCAGCTCAGTTCTGTGCAACATGTTTTCTTTCATGTGAAACCTCAAAGTATGGTGTTCCATTTGAGTACCGGTGAAAAACGCTTTGCATGCATTTTTCATGATGAAAAAAGGCTCTGGACAGCATCTGGAAATGGAAGAGTTAAAAAAAAAATTAAAAATGCAAACGCTTCTAAACACGGTTAGCCACGTTTACAAGCATTTGGCATTTGAAACGCTGATAAAATGTACTCCTGAACGCAAGTTTGGTGCATTCAAAAAAACAACTGTAAACTTAACTGCCTGTAAACGACATAGTGTACATGGACACATAGGAAAACATTAGGGAGAGTTCAGGGGTGGCTGAAAAAAATGCAGGAAAGCTCCTAAATGTGAGTTTATCAGCTGCAGTGTACATGGAGCCTAAAGGTGGAAATACACGATTAGAAAATCGACCGATCGGTCATCCAACGACCCAGAGCCATTCGTTCGTTGGTCGAAATTGTGGCCCACATTAACCAATCTCAAAAAAATTGTGCGTCGGGCAATACGTAGTGTTGACGTCTTCCGCACAAGTAGAAGTGATGCAATGTGCATGTGACCTTGTAGCCACGCCCTTCCAGCCAGAGCGAGCGATATACACAATTACCAGTAATGAGTATAATATAGTTTATTACATCACCCATATACATAAATAGTGATACATAAAATATAATATGCAGAATTCTGGTTTCCTGATCTCATTAGGCCAATCTACTTTTAACATTTGGATTTTTCGTTTGTGTTTACGAAGGTTCCTTGGACATAAACATCCGGGTCATCTACTGTTTCCGCTCATGTGTGATAGCTCTTGATAGATTTTTTCATACGACCGTCATACCAATCAGTCGTTCATATGCGAAACAACAACATTTTTCACTGTTGCTCAACCGGATTTTTTCGTTCACAATATCGTTATCTGTTAAAACATCCTGCTCATCAACGAATCGAAAATTTGTTAAATCAGTGGTTCCGCAAAATTTATCGTACGATATTCTTATCGTGTGTGCGGGGCATAAGACTCTCAAAAGCTGTTTAAAAATGGATTACCTGCATGCTTGTGGATCTGATTATTCCAAACAAATTTTTATTTTTAAATACTATTCTTATTATTATCTTCATTATCATTGGTTACAGTTGCATATTTTTTCTGTTCTATCGAATTCTCATTCAAAGTGTGACAGCACTGAAAGCTGAATTTTGGCGTGGGCAGGAAGGGGGTGAAAGTGCCCGGTAGGCAAATGGTTAATATGCAGGTATTAGTACATTTATAATACATACAGTATTTTCCTTTAATTACAGCATAAACTCTGGGGAGGGTACCTCGGTTCCCAGTATGGTTGGGTTTTCCATTGCGGGCGGCATGCCTTTAGAACTAATGGCACCCACCCACGGATCCGCATTCCTCTGTGCGTGTGGTGTGGCTGCACGGATTTTCGTGCGGATCCGCAGCGGCACCGTCCGCACAGATGTGAACCTAGCCTAAAGGACTCCATCTTCCTCAGAGCTTGAGCAGTGGATGTTTTTACAAAGAATCACAATGAGATGCAATAGAAGATCTATATTAACCACTAGCCTACAGGGCACTTATACCCCCTTCCTGCCCAGGCCAATTTCCAGCTTTCAGCGCTGTTGCACTTTGAATGATTGATGTGCGCTAATGAGGGTGCAGTGATGGGCACTGATAGGCTGCACTGATGGACACTGATAGGTGGCACTGATGAGGAGGCACTGGTAGGTGGCACTGATGGGCTTTGCCAAGCATCACTGATGGGCACTGAAAGGCAGCACTCATATATGGCACTGATAGGCGACACTGATAGGTGGCATGATCAACGGCACTGACTGGCACTGTTAGGTGGCACTGACTGGCACTGATAGGCAGCACTGATGGGCACTGATAGGCAGCACTGTAGCACGCTGATAGGCGGCACTGACTCGCACTGATAGGCGGCGCTGACTAGCATTGATAGGTGGTACTGATTGGCAGCACTGATAGGTGGCACTGACTGGCATTGATAGGTGGCACTGACTGGCACTGATGGGTGACACTGAAAGGCAGCTCAGATGGGCACTGATATGTGGCATTGATGTGGCACTGATGGGCACTGAAATGTGGCACTGATGTGACACTGATGGGCACTGGCAGGTGGCATGGATGAGCACTGAGAGCTGGCACTGATGGGCACTGACAGGGCTACACAGATCATCAGGGCACCCTGATCATCAGTGCTCTGATGATCTGTGTACATGTCCCCTCCGAGGAATGCCGATTACCGGCTCTCCTCTCCTCTCGAGGTGTCAGCGTGACAGCTCGTGGGGAGAGAAATGCCGATAAGCGGCATTTCCCTGTTTACATGTGATCAGCTGTGATTGGACACAGCTGATCACATGACCGATCCGACATCTTCGGCTCTTTCCATGGATCGGTGATCTGCTGTGTCTGAGGGACACAGCGCACCGCTAATTGCCACGCTCCGGGAGCCGCGTATGCGCGTTTTAGAATGTGAGGGCGTCATATGACGTCCTCCCAGAATGAGAGAACCACCTTGCGTCCGTCATATTACTATATGGCGGGCGGAAGGTGGTTAAGAGTTTCAGAAGCTGGGAGGCGGGGCGGATGGGGCAGGGTTTAGGGATCATGTGACTGCTGTGACGCGTCATCATGGCGGTCACATGATCGAGAAAGGTCCCGATCGAAAGAGCAGACCGGGACCTTTCTGTGAGTACCAGACATGTGTGCTGGGAACGTGGAGGGCTCGCGCTCTCATATGTTTTTTATTACCTGAACGCAAATGTGCGGCTGCTCGACGTCTAGGCCCAGACGCCGGGAGGCTGTACATTTGTGTGCGGCCGGTATAAAGGGGTTAAGCAGCCCATTGATGGGTCCGTTTTTTTTCACTCAACCACTGCTGGAATGAAAAAAAACAGACCTGATTTCCCCCGTCCACACGCACAATGTGCATGGAGGAATAGCTCCCACTGAGCAATTGTATTCTGACACCAAAAGAATACACTGATCATTATTGCAGGCTATAGCCTGCAGCGCTGATCGAATTAGGAAAACCCGACCAGTACAGAAGTCGATCAAAATTTGACCAGTCTCTGCTGAACCAGCTGAATTTCGAGCCATCTATTAGGGCTTCCTAAAGACTATCAACTCTTATTGGCACTATGAACGGCCAGCTGGGTTTAATCACAGGGTAACACATTTAAAGGCATAGTTCACTTTTACCCCTACCTCTGAAGATAAAGAACATCTATAGATGAAAACAAACTGCAGCTTTGACCAAACGTGAATAGCGCCCTTTTTATAGGTGTAGGCCATTTATGTACCTCATGAAGTCTGACCTGAAAACTCCAAGGATGTTGCTAGGAAGTTGCAAAGAGAGGTCCAGCTATTACTGCTCCCCTCCACCCTCACAGGAGTGAGCTCTTCCTCTGATTCAGACCTTCTCACATGCCCTTTCTTTATCCTGGTGCAGTAGCTCTGAGCTCAGAATTTGAGAGCTCTCTCCTGTGAAGGTGAAGGTCAGCAGTAAGTCCATTAAACTCAGTTTACACTTACTGTAATAAGGCGATAATAATAGGCAGTTGAGCTGTGTCTTTACCACCATCAACCTCCCCCCCCACCTTAAACTGCAAAGGCAGTCAGACAGGTGTGTACATATGCTGAGGCCTTCATGATTTGTGGTTTGGCAAAAATGATCCCCCATGGCATGTCTGGTGGTACCACAACCAAACTTGACATATTCAAGTGAATGGCGTCATGTTGCATTAGGAATCCTGTTCCACAACAACAGCGTTTGGCGCACAGCTGCGGTTCACTATTTCCAATCAAAGAGCCAGTTTGGCTGTCAAAGGAAACTGGGATTTAGGAGATGGCAGCATCGCCTCCGGAACGCTTGTCAGTCATACCTGCGCAGATCTGTGTGGCCTTAGCCTTCCTATAGACATTGCAATAGACGTGAGAAATGAAAAAAATTGTTTTGTTTTGGATCTATTTGTTCAAATTTTTTCAATGGATTCGAACATATTCGCATCAAAAATATTGAATCGATCTGAACTCATTGTGAAGAATAACTGGTTCTAGTCTATTTGCAATTTTGGAAGACGGTTATATTCTTTCTATTGCATTCTATTTTTTCTATTCTTCTTTTATTTTCTATTTTATCCTTTTTGTATTTTATTCTTTTCCATTCTATTCTTTTCTATTCCTTTCTTTTCTATTCTATTCTTTTATTTTCTCTACTTTTCTGTTTTGTTTTACTCTATTCTTTTTCTATTATTCTGTTTTATTCTATTCTTTTCAAAATTCGGATTTCGGAAGATGGCTATATTCATTCTATTTTTTTCTATTCTATTCCTTTCTTTTCTAATGCATTATTTTTTATTCAATTTTATTTTATTCTTTTATTTTCTATTCTATTCTGTTCTGTTTTATCTATTCTTTTCAGAATTCAAATTTCAGATGGGTTTATTCATTATATTTTATTCTATTCTATTCTTTTATTTTCTATTCTTTTATATCCTATTCTATCCTGTTTTATTTGATTTTATTCCTATTGAAATTTGATTTTCAAGATGGCTATATTCTAACATTAATACACACAGTCTTCTAAGGAAATTAGCAATAGTCAGCAATATGTTTATATTTCAAATTTGTTTTCTAATTTGATTTCACTTTTGAATTTTGTTATTTTGGATTCTTTTAAAAATTTATTACTATTGTAATTCGGAAATTCGAATACATCCTAATAAGGAACATTTTGTCCGAATTTCGATTAGAAACGAAACAAACGGTACATGTCTGCATTACAATCTGATCATACAATATCTGCACAATCAATTTAAGATTGATTAAGTCTATGTAATATGAGGACCTACCTAATCAACCTGTATACAATCAGGTAGGTCCCTGCACTGCATACTTGTTGGTAGATCTATATCAGATTGAACAATCATATTATAACGTGTAGTAAGCTTTACAGTGGCCATACACTATACAATCTGATTGTACAATTTCTTCCTTGGATTTACCAAAACTAATATTTTTGCGGGTGCAAAAATGTACATTTATAATTTTTTTGTTGGAGATTGCAGAGCATTATACCTGTGATCAGCATGTGGGTGCAGCGCAGTGAAGCAGCAGTAAATACACTGATTGCAGTTAACAAAACTTGTATTGAAGAAATTGCTCAAAGACACAAACAGCCCAGTGGGGAGACACCCAGCTGGGAACACTCACAGTTCTATGCAACAATGTAGAGCAAAGCTGGTTCTGATGCACCGACAGAGTCTGTCTCTGAGGGCAGAATGCTGCTTGGCCAGTCTGAGCCCAATGGGGAGGATTCCAAGGAATGATAGTGTGCCCCTATCCTCTCTATGCGCGCCATGCCTGGGAGTCAGGGTCTTAACCTCTTGCCGTCCGCTTGCTGTTTATAAACGGCAGGGCGGTGGCACTCCAGGGGCGGGTTGCCGTTCATAAATGGCTTCCGCCTTTTCTAGCTGTGCGCGCTCCTTGGGAGTGCGCAGCACCGCGATCTGGTGCCCGCTGTGTCCTCTGGACACAGTGAAACACCGATCGTCGGACGGGACCTCTGTACGAGGTCCCAATCATGTGATAACTGATAGGCCAATCAGTGATCACATGCAAAGTAGTAAGCAAGATGTCACTTGTGACATCATTACTTACTACGTGTGAAATCTGTGAATGATCACAGAGGTCACATGGTACAAGGCTATTCACAACAGCGTTGTACCATGTGACAAGGTGTGACCAATCACAGCTCACTCAGTATTTCTCAATGGCTGCAAGAATGCAGACAGAGAGAAAGAGAAATGATTGCTTTACATCCTATATGGGTGTAAAAGCAATCACTGTAAAAAAAAAAAAAAAAAAAAATCTTCATCACCCCCACAAGTAGTACAGTGTCACCATGGTGACACTGTACTGCTAGGGTGACAGTATGTAAAAAAAAAAAAAAAAAAAAAAATAAATAATATAAAAAAATAAAATAAAAATGTAAAAAAAATATTTAAAAATTATAATTTTTGGTTATAAACTAATTTGGCTTATTTTTTTTTACTAAAAATATAGCGGAATAAATTTTGGTCAAGATTTATGATGAAATATTATTTATTTGCAAAATTTTATAAGAAAAAACACTTTTTAAAAAATTTTTTGGACATTTTTATTTACATAGCAAAAAAAATAAAAATCCCAGCGGTGAATAAATACCACCAAAATAAAGCTTTATCTGTCTCAAAAAAAGTGGTAAAAAATTCATATGGGTACAGTGTTGCATGACTGCGCAATTGTCATTCAAAGTGTGATAGCGCTGAAAGCTGAAAATTGTCCTGGACAGGAAGGGGGTAAAAGTGTCTGGACAGGAATTGGTTAAATAGACTCTGCCTGACCCATGATAGCCACCGGAGTCATATAGGAAAGTGACATCCAGCTGGATCGTTTCCCAGTGACCCAATAAACCATAAAGGAACAATTTCTTCCTGACTTCCTTTCCCTCTGCAAAGCTGCTGCAGCTTGAGCGTCACCTGCAGTGGAGAAAAGCAACTGTAGCTGCTTACAGTTTGTGGGTGCAATGACAGGCTCCTGCACAGGCTTCCTCTAGCTTTGTGCTTGTATCCCTGTATGGGCTTTAAGTTAAAAAGCTGGAGGAAGAATGAGTGAACGAAGAGTGAGCAGCGTGCTTGCAGCCCATTAGATTATTAATTCACAGTAATGTGTGAATGAATGACGCAGCTGTGTGGGTAGAGCCCTGCACAGCGTGCTGCTTTCAATAGGTGACAGCAGGTGCTGGGAGAAAATCGTCCACCTGCTGTCACAGAGCGGGGAGCACTGGCAGTGGGAGGTGGGTGCACAGGAGCATGTTACATCTTAGCCCTGGTTCACATCTGTGTGGGAACGAGAGCCCATTCATTTGAATGGGCTCTCGTTTCCTGGGACATACAGGGAAGAAGTCCCTGCACTACTTTGGAAATCGCAGTCCACATGGAAACTGAAGTTCCTAGTATGGTTGCAATTTCCAGTGTGGGCTGCGTGCCATTAGAATTAATGGCTCCCGCAATCCTCTGTGTGGGTAGTGTGGCTGCAAGTATTTGTGTGGGTCCCACAGTGGCACCACCCGCACAGATGTGAATCAGGGATTAAATATGGTGGTAACATATAACATGCTCCTACAGGTGCTGCCTGCTGGTTTACTTAAACCTTGAACCATCACCCTCCAGTGGGCTGATAAAAAGATGAATGAATCTCCCCATCCACACATTCAAGGTGGATGGAGGAATCCTACCCACTGAGGGTATCATGTATCATGTATTCTGACATTGAGGAATACACTGATCAGCGCTGCAGCTGATTGACTGCAGCACTGATCGATTAAAAATTTTCCGCCATTCTCGTTCAAGAGAAGCCAATAATTAGATCCACT